GTTGTTCAGACATGGCCCAACTGCAGAGTTTCACTCCGACTGGACCCGCTAAAGGATTCCGGTCGTAGGACCTATTCTTCCTTGCCAGCAGAAGCGAGCTAGATCAATCTTTGACATAATTATTTAAGCCTGCTACGGTGACGCTGTTCTTAAGGTGACACTTTAGACTCTAGACATTCAACTACTTCCATGAATTTGCCCGATGTACCACTAAACACATGTTTTGCAAAGTAGATGCGGCCAAGAGGCCCTAGTCTTCAGGACTCGTTGAATTGCCCGTCCAATTCTTGCGGGTTCCCTTGGGTTTGCTCCCATAGCTGTCCTCTGGACGTCTGTTCATGTCGTTTGGACATAGGACCTGTTCTTTCCTTGGCGACAGAGGCGAGCTAGATCAGCCTTTGACAAAACTATTGCACTACTGAATTGTTGCCACCTCGTGACGCCTGGTGACCCTCATTTCTCTTCTTTGGGTTGCCTTCGGCCAACATTTTGAATCTGCAGCTTTGGGGCTTGTCACTTGGTCTGCGTGTCCACCGATATGCCACACTGAGTACTTGTCTAAAATGCAGGCTGCACTAACAATGACACCAGGCATGCGCTCTGATACTGGGGAAGTGGAAGGAACAAGGTCATATTCCGCAGCAAGATTTTGGGGAACTGCGCAGTTGTTGGCTTGTTTGGACGTGCAAACAAACACACATATACCTGGCAGCAATAGCACGAGTTGAATACGCTGTAGTGCCGGACTCGAAGCAGCGGTCGCAATACTGCAAAGTTTGCGATTCACCTCTTGCCACATAGTACAACTGACATAAATACTTCACGCTCTGTCAGGAACATTCCTGCGACGTCTGCGCTACTGCATAGTTACACGCTTATGTGAGATGTTCTTATGATTCCAATGAATCCTTTTTTTCGGTCTAGGATCCGGGATTTAAGGTCGTTTCGGGCGGAAAGAGTCTTCGCTGGTCTCGATATTGGTGTCGCTATTCTCGCTACTTGCCTGAGCAAGCGAACACCACTCAGAATTCGCCCTTGAGTTTCCAAATCAAACTCTCCAAAGTCGCTATTGGAAACTTGGCAACTTGGATCGGGACTTTCAGCTTCGGCAACACTTGAGCGCTATGAGTCCCCAAAACGAATGGCTGGGATTGATGGCGCAGTCGTCAGTACTGTCAATGAGCAGGGCCGGCAAGGAATGTAAGCAGCACGGGCATTGCTTCCTGGTCGACTCCAGCTCACTCACCCAGCGAGAACTAAAACCAGCCAGCCCAACGCAACGTAAGACATGACCCTCCGTCAATGTTTCCAAGGGCAACCAACACGTCGACTCCACCCGACGAGGTCCCGACTTCTGGCCAGCGCTGGTTTGATCCCTACGGATCGCACGTGTTATTGGGGCGATTTCAGTCTCGCATAGCGTCTCTGCCAACAAAACAAGAACACACGGAGAAGTGAGGCAGCTGCAGAGGTCGTCTCACATTCATTCTTCGCCGTAGACACTAAGTGCAATGACACATCTCACCCATGCCCAAACGTGACAGTCGTTTGAGAACAGCTGCTCACGTTGGTTCTATTCGCTGATGAAACGAGCAGAGCATGTAAAACATTACGACCCATGCGTTTTGGCTTCCCATCCTATGGCTTGAGCTGTGCCTTGCCATTGCGTCACCACTGCGCCACAACACCTCACAACAAATTAAGATGGTCAAAACGCTGCGTGCCACTACACAGCCTGGGCCAACCAGACAATGCAGTGGTGAACTTTCGAATGCATGAGCACAACACGCAAGGCAACTCAATTTTCACAGCGCCCTGATGGCGTGGGTGCATGCTTGACTCGCACATGCCAATCGCAAACCCTGAGCGCTGACGAAGCAAGACCGCTATGACGACTGCCGCCAACGCCTCATCTACTGCAGAGCCGGTAGAGCCGGAGCCGCGATGTCATCTCCATAAGTCCAGGGGCATGGTACCTTCAAAAGAACTGGTGCCGTGTCAAAAAAGTTGCCCATGCGTTCAAGAGGGAAAGTGCTGCTGTTTGTATGGCATCATGCTAGTTGTGCATGCGAGCGCTGTCCTTTTGATTTGCCTTTTCTTATTTCTAGACTTGCAATCATCTGATGAGGACCATGGACGATGACCGTTGACGATAGCCAATCATGAAAAAAAATCCTGTTCTATTCCCATTAGGCCAGCCTAGACCCCCAACAGGAAAGGACCAGAGACCACTCAAGCAAGCAGCACCTGAGGACCACTCACGACATTTCGCAAGAGCTTTGAAGGACCACTCCACAAGCAGTCCAAAGACCACATGAGAACCACTCCTCCAGGATGGACGACCACTCCAAGACCACGCTGCAAGCCTCAGAGTGGAGTGAACTGCTGGACATTATGAGAGCGAGGTGCACTCAGCGCAAAGGGCTCGCGTTGGAGCGGAGATTGCGGGACTATCATTCAAGCTGTCACGGATGAACACCAAGGGTGTGTCAAGGCCGCATCATTCACCCATCTGAAAAGGTTAGGAGGGACGAAATGATGTCTCAGTGTTTCGTAAAGTCCCCTCACCGCCTTTACTACTCAGGAGCATGTCTTGCCAACCTTGCTATTCATGCGCATATATATGCATGTACTAGGTAATCCCGCAGCGTAGTCTTCACTGCGCCTGGCCAACCTGGATTGCAGGCGTCAAAGTCTGAGAGCCCAGCCTGGCCGCTTAACATTGAAGCCGGCTTCATGGCTTGCGTGAAAGGGGGCTTGCTCTGATCGCAAGACACTTAGTTAGTGACTCCGACTTCCACTGATGCAACTGCTGGCTCGCAGATTCCTGAGACCTTTGCACTTCAGGCTGGCTGGCAGGCTGCATGAAGGTTTATCTCACGTGGGTCGCGCAACGCTGGCTAAAGTCAAAGTCTTTTTCTTTCTTAACAGTCTTGAGTTGCACATGGTTTGCAGAAAAGACGAATATTGAAGAAGTGTCAATCCAAATGGATCCTGCCCGACCAAGCTACTCCTTTGGAAGCCCAGGACGGCCGATAGAGAACACTGGTGATGAAGAATCGTTTGAACAAGATTACTGTCTGCGATTCAATCAACACCATCTTCTGCAGTCTTGTGCATGTGCCACGTTCCTCTGGCGGTGAGGACTGCGCAGCGTTAAGCTTGGGTGATCCCCGGGTTGGACCATTTCTGGAGACTCTGCAGCATGTTGCGAAGCTGGCCCACTCGCAGGCGGAGCGCAAATGGCTGAGCGCACTCCATGCCGCCATGTTTTCAAGGCTGCAGCTCAAAATCTACACAATTGGCTACCGAGTTTACGCCTTCGTGGGCGCTGTTGCAGGCGTCTACCGCCCATTCTAGTCCTGGTGCCGCCACTTCTACTCCTGACAGATTCATGAATGTAAAACGAAATTTGCCTCCATTTATGCGCATTGCATGTTTAGCGTTTGAAAAGGGGGTGGAGGAGTAAGGGGATGCACAGGCTTGACTTGGTTAGACTTATTGGTGGTTGTGGGAAACTGAGCGGGCATAAAGTAGTGCTTCCCAGGCAGGACACTCAATTGGAAGAAGCTACAAAACCTATCACAGTTGTTCGTTTGCCTTTGGCAGCCGGGATTTGTCAAGTGCCAGGTGTGCCTTTGCTTTTGTACGTACCAACGCCTGCTCCGGTGAAGGATGCCTAGCGGAAAAACGTTGCACGGTGACAAAGCAGGTGAGACGATAAATGGGCAAGGTTTCACTGAAGCGGATGGCATTACCACCATGCAAGCAACAAGGGCTGCTAGTCCTTGAAAAGGTTGCCTGTAAACGAGTGGGATCACCTGGCCCTGCCATGAAATCGGACAGAACAGTGAATTCCAGTTCTGTGCTGTTCACACAGAAACTCTAGAACAACATGCATTGCGCACGCTATGCTTGGGCGCTGCTTGGCAGCCCCGGGTGGCAAGGTGCTGCATCTTAGTCGTTAACATGCAGAGAGATGCCCGCATTCCTTTCAGCATCTGCACAGCCTTGAGCTTGTGAGGCACGAATTCTTTGCCCTAAGCCACGTTCCACCCCAAGTCAAGTCTACTAGCACACTATAGCACAGCACACGATCGCTTCACTCATCCTCGAAATCCTCTTGGTACTCCCCATCGCCGCCCTGAAACGGGCAAAGCAAACGGAGAGCTATCTGCATGAGGGCCAGCAGGCTGCACGAACCTCGAGGTCGATGTCTGTGGGGCTTGCACCTCTGCAACTTCGACGAGTAAAACAGAAGGAAATGCGTGACAACATGGATTCCAGCGGAGTGCCTCGCTCCTCTGCCTGTGATCCTCGAACTGGTGGCCTGGCATCACATGTGGGCTGTTGGCTGAAAGTCTCTGCCCGAAGGTGGAGGGGAACCCTGTGTTCCCTGCGGCCACGCATCAGCAAGAGCATGCAAGGAGGAATGTCAAACACCAGTTGAAAGTATGAAAGGCGATCAGGTCTCTGAAAAACACTGTTGCAATCTTGAAGAATCTCGGCTAAGATGGGCTTTACAAGCAACGCCCATCATGATTGGCATCTTGAGAATTGTATCTGCAAGCTACCTTTTTCGCAAGTCTATGCGACAAACCACACTGTGCCATGAAAACTCTAGCACGGCTAGCGCAGCTCTCTCACTAACATCACAAAAGTTTGCAGGAATTGATGGGACGACTCATGACCATGAAGTGTTTTTTCGATGAGGGCTACACTGTCACCTGCACTCTTCCCTAAAACTAATTTGTCACCATAGGGGTTTCATGCGCTAAGTAGGTAGGGCCACACCTCATTTCGGAGACTTGCAAAGCGTGCCCTCGAAAAGGTAAGGATGTTAATTCTCTGGCCGTTCTGTTTGACATCAGTCCATGTCCTGATGCCAAAGTCTAAGACATGCCACAGGGGCGATGACGAAGCCTGGGCAAGCATTTGCAGAGCGAGATCTGCAGCGATTCGTGCAGAGCATTGCAGACCTTCAAAGCTCAGTTCACGGCGCTCTTGTCTACACGGAAGCTCACAGGCCTTGAAAAAAGAGAGTGAGTATGTTTGACGAAGTCAGCAAAACTATGCACAGAAGAATTTACAGCAGATCATCCTAAAGGCCCTTTTTCCTTTTGTGGATATAGGAGCACATATAATCTACTGTAAATTCTGCTGTAATTTCCTTCCCATGACAAAGGAGGAGATTTGAAGTACCAGGCCCCGGCAGACCAGCCTCGGCGCGCTGAACAGCCTTTACGGGACACATTTGAACCATAGGCTAAACTCCTAGCATCCCCCAAAATGTCGCCTATAGTAGTCGCCTATATAATCCATTACATAACCCCTTTGAGGAGTTTAGATTATGGCTCATTTGGGGACTCTTCGACTTTCCTTTCTTACTCATTCTGACGCATCTCCCTCACGCCTTCTCAGCCTCTGCAGCCCGCCGCTTTGCGTCTCCCAGGTCCTGCCTGTCAAGTAGCGCTTTCAACTTTTAACACTTGTGGCGGCTGTCTTCTTGGCCTCAGCTGCAGACCTCAGAGGCTTGAAAAATCGGTGCAGAAAAAGAACAGAAAAGCAGGAATCAAACGCAAGCAAAGTCTCTGGCCCTCAGCAAGCAGCTTCCTCTTCTCTTCGTTCAAGCTCTCGATGGTGCGGTGGCACTCGTCAACCTTACTCATCCGCACAAGACCCGAAAGCCGCGGTATTCTGGTCTTCAGTGCCGCCTTCTCTGCGTGTTCGTCTTTGAGCTCATTTAGCTGGTCCGTAAGGTAGCAGTAGCCTGTCGCAACGGCACATACAGAGCAGCCCTTCTGATATGGGAAGGCCTTCGTTCGTGTTCAAGAGCTCCTCTTCCTGGAAAGGTGCCAAGAAACGTGAAGCAGACAGCAGAGCTTTCCGGCGCCTTGGCCGCAAGGGTGTCAAACAGCATCTCCTCCCTGGCGCGAGCCTGAAAGCTTTTCGAAACAAATGGCAACCAACGGAGAGCACAAGAGGTTCGGGCCAGATCGCGCTCCTCGGTCAGGACACCGATCTGCTGCTGGAGGTCCTGAGCTCAACGTCTCGGAATCGACTCCTTCCCTTTATCTTCCTCTCCTCGTTGCTGCTCTTCATCTCTTCCGCTTTGGACTCCAAGTCTCTGACCTCGCACTCACAGGCTCTGCAAAGCAGGCTTCCCAATCCACTGGGCCCTGAGCCTTGTCTCTTTCTTGCTGGCTTTCTTCAAGCGCTTGTGCGAGCTTCTCCTGGCAAAAAGTGTTCACCCCCTTAACCAGCCTTCGGCCTAAGCAACAGCAAAGCCGAAGGAAGCACGGAAGCACTCCTCGAGAGACTGCAGGTGCGACTGGGTGCTGTCCTGTTCCTTCAGAAAGCAGAAAGCAAAGCAACACACACTGCATCAGCACTGCCCAATCACTGTGCTTAGGAGGTTTTTGCTTTCAATCTGTAAAAACCCTCCCCGTCAGCCTTTAGCCGCTTTAGCCTTCAGCCTTCCCTGCTGAGCCCCTTGCCACGCCCATGCGAAGCTTCTCCGCCTCGGCATCCGCCAGCTTCTGCTCGCTGTGCGAGACCTTCGAGAAGAGCCACATGTGCGGTTTGCAGAACGTGAGTTGCATTGAAGCATCATCAAGCACTTCAAATCTCGAACCTGCTCTTGAAGCAGGTTGTAAGCCTTTCTCATTTCCTCCAGTTGTGCCATCGTCTCCTCACAGCACGTTTTCTGGGAATCTCCAAGAAGAACTGGCTTGGACACGGCCTGCAGCTGCTGCTCCACCTCCAACACACTAGCATGAGGTTCTCCAAAGCCACACGACAACAGTGATGACCCGCCGGCCCGCCTGCGTTCTCTCGGCCATGGCTTGTTGCGCCTTCTCCTCCTCAGCCCGCTGCAATTCTCGCCACCGCCTGAACGGTTTCTGCGCGCCACCGTCACGCAAAGCCGTGCACAGTCGTAATTTGGCTGAGCGCAGCTGAGCGCAGAGCTCCGACATTGCGGTGCTTGCAAGCGACAGGCATCGCTGCAGCCTTACCGCAGAGTCTCAGAAAACAGCAAGAGGCAAGAAGCAGTCTCAGCCACTCTCAATTACTCTCAGCCGTGCACAGCTTCGCACGGCGCAGCACCACATCCAAACGGCAGGAGTGGTCTCTCAGAGATTGCCTTCAGACATTTCAGGCTAAATGCCGTGTTGCCTCCCGCTTTCGCAATTTGGGATCCCGCGGAATCGGTGTTTCGACCTTTATTTTGCCATCGGCCCAGCCAAAGACCTGGCGAGGGAGAAAGCCAGAGAGACTCACCGCATTGACCGCCCTGAAACGGGCAAAGCACAGGCGCCTCCAGCCGAAAACCAGGATGGTTTTGCCTGGCCCACTGGTTATGACTGCGTATACTTACCTCCTCATGGATTGCGTCATTGGGCGCAATTGCCCATGCCAGGGCAACCATTCTTGCGCGTGGAAGCGCAAGTACCGCACCGCTTGGGATGGCTGCGCGGTACACAGAGGAACGTAGCCTTCACATGGGCACAGTGTGCACACGCTGCGCCTCTCTTGTTGTCAAATCCGTGTCACCATCAGCAGAATCAGAGGAGGCCGCGAACTGTCTCCGCATCGGCGCAGCCATCAAAAACAAACGGCGTGTTTTCCTCAAAGTGCAGAGATGACTGCAGGATTTCACTGGGGGAAAGCCACACCTGCGTCGACAGCGGACTCCAGTCTTTGCCCTGCTCGCTTGTGTAGACTGTGAACTTTGTCACCTGGCGAGCCCAAATCTGTTTGATTCACAGGACACTCATGAATGCAACAGTGACGGCAGGACCCATTGATCCGAGACATCAAGTAAAGCTCCACACTCAGACTCAGCTGAGCCTTCCAGCTTCTTCCTGCACTGAGTCGATCACAAGACATCTCAACAAAGATTGCGAGAGCAGCTTGGAGCAGCTTGAGTCCTGATGCCCAAGTAGCAGAGTAGCTGCAGGAGCCGGTTGCTCTCCTCGGCTCTTTTCGGGATGCAGACTCATTTCAACAACACAAACAGCACAATTTGCCACGAAGATGCTACGGTGTTCTTGCCCCCAAGGATGTCAGAAGGGCTCACTTTCAACGCAGGAACCTCAAGGCTGCTGCACAAAGACTCATCCGTGAGCATCAAAGCAGAGGCGGGTCGCTTCGCCTTGTCCTGTAGTCCTGCACCCTTCATAGCATGGCCCTCGGTCAGAAGAGGATGAAAAATCGCGCAGCTTTCTCATGTTTTCTTCCCCGGGTGCTAGACGGCTTTCGCCAGGAGGAGCTCAAAGAAGTCCACCTTAGTGATGCAGACTCATGGTGAAAATCTTTTCCGGTTGCTACCTCTCCACACCTTCGCCTGCCGATCTGCGTTCTGGAGTTGCTTGTAGTCCAGCTGCTCTGAAGAGAAGTCTGGCCTTTGTGCTAGCACATGCATAGGAGCGTGTGAGAGCTGAGCAGAGCGCCACACTTCCCGGCCGCCAAAGCCTGCCAATGCTTCGTGCACACACCAGGGCCCAGCTGGGCCAGCTACCGGGCTGCCCGGGGCCCGCCTGATGGCGAACGTGCGCCGCCTGAGCAAGGACATTCTCCTTTGTTTCAGTTCGGAGGACTATGCGGCCGGCCACAACGATGTCATGGATCAGTCTCACCGGCGGTCTCTTGAAGATCCTCATGTTCTGAAGTTGCAAACTGGGGGTTCGGAGACCACATGAAACGCGGCTGGCCTGTTCGGCGGCAGCGGGTCGCCGGGATCCAACAACTGCATCAAGCCAACCAAGTTCAAGCAAGTTCAAGATCAGCGCAGCCGTTTACAAAGCTCCCACCTCAGCCAGTAACGGCCGTGTGGCCTCCCAGTCTCCGCTGAGCGGCCTCTGGCTCCATGAATCTGTGGGTGCTAGGGGCCATCACAGCTGTAAAAGATCCCAATAATACCCCTATAGATAGAACCCTATATGATATAGTAGTTTCCTTTTTTCTCTGCCATTTTCCCCATATAACCCCAATATTACCCCTATAGAACCCCTATATATTATAGTAGTGTTCATGTTCTTTTCCAAGGGCGCCTTCTGCCTTGTAGTGCCAAGCTGCTGACCTCAGTAATAAGAACAATAAAAATAGTCATCATACTAATGATAGTAATAATGGAAAAGAAGATGGAAACTACTATACTGATATTAATAGTAATAATAACAGTGATAATGGTAATGTGCCGAACGTTCTTGTGACGCATGTGAGCTCATGCTGGAGCTCCGTGCCCAGGTGGCTTTGCCCAGGTCAACCTAGTCCATGTCTTGTTCTTAGGAATCATTCTGTCAAAAGTTTTGGAAAGGAGCCTGGCCTGCAGGTACTCGGAAGCCTGATCCTGTGCGGGGCTCCATCCTGGAACACCACTCGCAGCTTTTGATGGTCCACATTCTGCTTTTAAGCATTGAGTTCAGGACCGCCGAAGGCGCACTTCATGCGATTGACCCCACTGAAGAGCCGCACAGAGGTGCAGGCCTCCAAGCCGAAACGCTCACAAGCACGAGCATCCGACGAGTAGGGTTGTCCCTTTGCCTGTGGGTTGGAGCTTGCTGAAATATTGCCATCTGGCAGCTCCTTCAGGAAGGACGATGGTCTTGGGATCAACTGGCCATGTGCAAGTCCTCCGCGGCCAGCCCAAGTGGCAGTGAGAGAGCTGCCGACGCCTGACTCGAGCTGGTCTGCTCTGCTTCCACGCTCAAATCAAAATCAACACGAGCCATGCCATCCCGCCTCCTCCCCATGCAGAGCCAAAGGCCGGGAACGCGAACTCGAACTTGAGGAACCACCCACTTCGAGCTCCAGCCTGAGACTTTTGGCTTCCAAGATTCCACATGGCTCCAGATGGCTCCAGATGGCTCCAGATGGCTCCAGGGTTCAGACTTGGTCTCCTCCATCAGCTCGCTCACGTCAGCGCCTGGACCCGCACAGTACGTTGCCATTGACCTCAACAACTCCCTTGCCCACCTATGGCGCTGCTGCAGTCCACCAGGACTTGGAGCTGCCCAACAAAGTCGCCCAACGCCTTGTGGTCCTCCATCTTATCAAAATGGCCCCAACCTATTCGTACAGCTCGCCCCTTCCTCTGCGATCTGGCCCCAAACTTTCATCCGGCGGCTGTCAACCCTCAGCACGTCAGCGCAAGTGCAAGACTGCAAGAAGGGCGAAGCATCCCTGGGCTTGGCCCATGGCTGTCGCAAGACCAAACCAAGAACCTCGTTGTACTCCTCGGACACCTCCAGGAGCTGCGAGAGTGTCAAGAGTGACGTGCGTCTCCCAAAGCCTCGTTGCTGGCTTCTTTTCCGCCTTCTTCTGTCTTCTCCTCCTGCCGAAGCTTGTAAACTGTAGGACTGTAGGAACTGTGAGGTCAGATCGGGCGGCCTTTTCTTCTGAAGTCTCAAGGGCAATTCCTGCCACAACCCTTTGAACCTTGAGCAAGGGCAAAGGCAAAAACTCACAGAGCTTGCTTTGTCGCTGCCTGCGGCATCCACAGCGCTACCTGCAAACAACGCAATCTCAGTGTCTCTCTCAGTGTCTCTCTCTCTGTCTCCCCTCATCTTTGTGTTTCGGAAAGCGCTGCACCTCGGCCGCCAGTTCCTGCTCCTGCTTGGACAGCGATTCAAACCTCGCTGGAGAAGTTTGCGGAAGGAATACTATTACTACTACTACTACTACTACTACTACTACGACCATTACTCTTACTATTGTTACTATTCCCATTATTTTTATTGCCGTTACTAGGAATATCTCAGCCTGGGCTCCCCGGCTCTCTAATCATCGTGCCAACCTTTCTCTCGGCCTGAAATCTGCACACGACTCCACTATGCATATTCCCTATATACCCCCACTATACTATAGTCGTTTCCATTTTCCCTTCCAATATCCCAATGTAATTGCACACTATACTCCTTCAGAGCCTTTCAAAGGCGTGCGGAGCGCGCCTGCTGCAGGAGCATGCGGAGCCCTGCTCCCCCATCCTCCTCCTTGCCACCTGCCTGAACCTCAGAAAGCGGAGGCAGAAAAATAATGTTTGGGTTGTAGGTGCCCCCAAGTGTGACTGGCCTGCCGCCTCTTCTCACACCAGTGCTCGACGTCATGAATGACAGCCTCAAATAATGACGATCACTGCATACACATCATATGGCTTCTGTCACCTTCCACGTTCAAGGATCCTGGCATCTTTGAGAAGCGTTGCAGCGCGGCCTCTTGCGGCACACTGCAAGCCTTTCGTATGCTGCCGATTGCTCCGGGTGCAGGACATTGGGCAGTAACCCGGTTCTCCAAGGATAACAACCGAGAGATCTGGGTAGGCCTCAGAGCACATGAGCTTTGGGGAAATTCTGGGAAAATCAGTTGCCGAAGGATCAAACCATCCGGAAGTGCAAGGCCTGACCGCAATCTCCCAGCAAATGCGCTGTACTCTCCTCCACGTTGAACGCGCTTGGACTGAGTTGGCAACGTCCATCGCTCACCCCCTTGCAGTGCCTTTAGCTCCTGAAGCAACAAAGCGGCGCGGATGCAGTGACTACGATGATAACCCAAAATTGCGGCGTCGGGCGTTGCGCGCCGCACCGCGTGAGCCAATGACTGGTGAACCCGTTGACAATCCCATTGATTCAGGGGTTGTAATCTTGGTTACACTCGCCGTCAGGTCATGGAGGGCAGCAGCGTCCTGCACTGTCAGCTCCAGGTCGCCCTGGTGAGGTAACAGGCAACACTCTCAACAATGCACTTTGCTTAGAGAATCTTGTCAGAGCGTTGAAGTCCGTTGTGACGAACTGCCTTGTCTTCGAGCAGCCGTAGCCGCCGCTTTCGTTCCTCATTCAGCCTCTCCATGTTCCGCAGCGCCTGCAAGACCAAGCTACTCAAGCTCACTTTGGGTTGGCCGAGCCAGGGAGGGCCTCCTGTTCCAATCGCTTGCGCTCCTCCTCATGCTCCTGGGACTGGCGCTCTTTGTCCTTGCAAGCAGATGCCCGTTTCTACAGAGCAAAACTACAACAAGAATGAACCGCTTCACTTGCTTCTCACTTCAACAAACTTCAACCACTTTTGGACTTCACTGTTCTCTTTCTCTCCAATCTCGTATCCTCCCAGGTTTGCTTCATGAAGCTCTCCATCTCCTGGATTTGCGTCTCGTAACGGCCTCAAAGGAAAAAGCTAAAGCACGCTGAAGCTGGCAAGGGCCATCCCGTCGGGCCATCAGGATGTCGGCCGGCTTTGAGAGACTGAGAGGACGGCTGGTGTCTGCAAGCCCTGAGGCTTGTTCCGCCAGCTTCGCTCGCAACGCCTGAGCACGGTCAGGAAATGAATTGGATCCATTCAAATTGAATTCTGCCTGCCTCGACCTCTTCCTCAAGCTTTGCAATCTGCTCAGCCTCATCGTTCCTGGCTCGAGATGGTTGAAGGGTCACCTCTGGAAGGAGCTTAGGCAGGGACTTCGTGGCATTCACCTTGATCGTTTTCGCACGCCTTTGTGCAAGTCGTTGCCACACTCTTCGCTGGTTCATTGAAGTGGCTTGTAGGGCGGCAGCTTTGCATAGTTCAAAGTGGACAAACTTTCATCTGCGTTTGTCTTCGATGGCGACAGTGCAGCCTTTAGCATCCCGACCCGTGCACAGTGCACAAGGAGCTGCGGACAATGCTCCGTGTATAACCCAGCCAAGCACCATCATCGTTGTGAGCGCATTGCCTCCCAAGGACTCCTCGCCAACTGGGAGATTAGGTCTTGCCTGCTGCGCTAGTAAACACAAGTGCACGACCTGAAGCACCCGAGTCAACTTGGAATTCCGATAGGGAATGAAAACCTGCACCGAGCAAGTGGCAGAAGCGTTTGCAAGGCATGCTTGCTGTGTGCCTTCTTGTTTCCGGAGGCCATGGAACTGAGCGCATTGATCACGTTGCCAAGAGCTGACCTAGGTCCACGTCCACATGGTCAAGCAAAACGAGCAGGATTGAGCAAGGCGATGGCAGGCTCTTGTTGATGTTGGCTCCTTCCTTCAGAGTGTCGCCCTGGGTCCAAGGCTTCTGCATTTTGAAATGCAAACTCTTTCCGTGGTTCAGTGAGTTCGGTGCCTGCGCGCCAGTCCTCGAGGCGCGCTCGCTGCCCGCCAGGTCCTACCAAGCTGGGAGCTTCGTTCAAAACAAAACGATTTCGCACGCTTGCACTGCTGCAGCTCCACGAGGTTCATTTTCGAGAAGTTATTGTTCCCGGCATTCAGATCGTCCTGAGGATTGCGGCACATACAGCGAGACCGATGTCTTCGGCAATGCCTTCTGGTGCATCTTGATGATGAAGAGGCAATGCGACCGGCTGCTTGTGGCGTTCATCTGAGTGGCAGCCGTGGCCCGGTGCTCGAAGCCTGCGCATCGAAGCTGCTCTGTATGCTTTTAGCTGTAGTGCTTCCGTGGCACCTTGGTCAATGAGCTTCAATACCTTGTCAGACGAATCCACAACGATCTCCTGCAAGTCCTGGCTGGATTCATGCTCCACAAATTCACAGACACTGCTACAACCTTGACGTACACTCCAATGCCCTTGCCCTCACGAATCTCCAAACCTGGCACCACAGTTTTAGAGTTCGGGCAGAAGCAGGCAGGTGCCAAATCTGCCAACCTGTCTTCGGTGTGTTCTTCCCTCGGGGCACAAGGAGGTCGTAGACGATCTGCCAGCAAAGACAAATTGCACAGGCCAGCATCCAGCGTGGGCCCCTCCCTGTTTCAGCCTCGTTGTAGATCTCGAGGAAGGAGCAGCAGATGAGAAACTTCCGAGTGTCCTGCAAGACACATTTCATGATCTTCTCCTCTGAAAGATGATTCACCAGTCCGAGGACAGCTTGGAGACTCGCTGGAACAGATTATCAGAGATTCGGGGCACCCTGCAGCACAGAAACTCCAAAAAAAAACTGCCAAGCGCAGAAGCAGTATCAAGGGGCTCGAAAGGTGTGTTAAAGGATCTCTACTATTTTGTTGCTTATTTCCTATACCCCACCTTCCTTTGTCCCACCTTTTGAGCCCTGTGACAGTAGGACTAAGCTCTGCACAAGCCCCGGTCATCGGACTTCCGGTCGGCCATCATGGTGTGGGTCTTGCCCGATCCTGTCTGGCCTTCATACATTTTATCACAATATACTAGAATATGCTAGAATATACTATAATATACCAAAATATACCACAACATACTATAATATATTAGACACACCATAATATACTATAATATAGCATAGCAGTATACCACAATATACCATACTTTGCTATAATATACTTGGGTAGCATAGGGAAGCGGAGATCCTTGCTCAGTCTATCTCTACGTCCGCTTGAGTCTGCGCAAAGGCTCCGACCGTATGCGAAGATGGTAGCATTGTAGCCTTCAAAGGCCTTGTCCTAGCAAAGGCATCACTTCCGCCCCCACGTGCCTCATTATCAAAACTGCAAGTTTCTGCCAGTCCAGGAGAGGATTTCCAAGCCTGGGCTCGCAAAGGCCACATAAGCTTTGGTTTCTATTCTCTTTTTAAAAACATGCAAAACAAGGAAACCCTTCTGCAAGCCGCTTCAGCGGTCTTCCGCACATGGGCCTACTTACCTTCCGCGGCAACATGTGGGGGTTTCCCAGAATCAGGGGTGCTTTTTTAGGGGCCCCCCAAAAATAACGACTACAGCATATTGGGGTCTATATTGGGGTCTCCCTCTTCGGGGAAACTATCGAATACTGTTTCCGCGCAAGAGCTGTCACCGGGAACTTGAAAGCATGTTGAACGATTGTCGTCTTTTTAAGTAATGGCATGTGGAGTCGGGCTTCCGTGGAGACTCTGCATGCTTCCAGTGCGCCAGCCCGGGCACCCAGACATACTGAAGCAAGCCCAAAAAAGCTGAAGCTCATGCAATCTGCCTGCCTTGCCCGAATAGCCCGGAAGCTGATGATGTCTTGGTTCTTACTGGAGATGCCATGTACTTGCACGATCACATATTGCTCATGTTTTTTCTGCAGACCCACTACATCTTGAGGTCCCTGTAAATCCAGTAGTCTTTATCAGGCGTACCTTCCAAACAGGTTTAAGCTTTCTTTCGTCTTTTATTTCGAAGGGGTTGGCATGCGATTAGTAAACAGGTGAGTTACATGAAATCTCACGTTTCATTCTTGCGCCTACCCAGTCAAGAGATGAGTGTAGCCACAATACAAGCGAAATATATTCAGCTCTGCCATGAAGTTTGACGACCTTTAGAGGGAGTCGGCTTGCAGGCAGGCGACATCTCGAACACCTGTGGCTGGGTCGAGTCCTTTCCAAAGACCTCACACTTGCTTCGACAGCTTTATGGCACATCTTGGGCTCCCGGGGGTCTCCGGCATTGTCGAAGGCGAACACATTGGGAGGCTGGTTCTCTTGATTCAAAGTGACCGTGTTGTCTTTGCCAACCTGTCAGCAAATGGGACAGGGAACATTGGTGCAGTTTTGGTGCCAGACCTCCACACACTCTGTGCCGCCTTCCTTGATCTCCTACACATGAGACAGATCCTTTTGCAAGAACGGCCACAGCACTTCAGTCGCTCGAGGCGAAAAGGCCTTTTCGCTCAGCGGACGCACCCGCACAGCCACCTGTCTTAACTTCTCTTCTCTCTGACAAAATCCTAAGGGACCCTACTAAACCCTAAACCCTGAATAGCAGTTTCCATTTCATGTTCCATCATCCCTATATAACCCCAATACACTGTATAGTAGTTTCCATTTTTCCTGGAAGCACAGAGTGTGCTGCTGCCATCCCGCTAACTGCCTGCACAGTGGTAGTGCCCACATCATCGGCCATAGCCCAGCAGCCTTATCTCTGAGCCTCCTGGGCCAGGAGCCCTTCCGAAGTGGACTTCAGGGTCTGCGAGGATGCAAGCGGTGTAAACTCTTATCATGAATGTCTGAACTATTTGAGGCCCCATGGCGCTGTCTGGCCCCGGCTGAAACCAATGAAATGGGATGGTGTGCTGGGTGGGGGGTGGGGGGTTACTGAGCCAAAGGAAAAGCGCAGAATCCCTATCCTGAGAGGATCGTGCAGGAGAAGCGGGCAGGGTTGTCAGCGTCCAGAGGCGCTGGCAGGCTACCAGCCCCGACCCCCAACTCTATTCGTCTACAGTTGGCTTTGGGTATATGATGATAAAATCCCATATGCCCCATATGCTATCTACTTAAGGGGGACTATAACCCTGAACCAAGGAGGTCCCTGGCACCTAGATGGCTGGGCGCCAAAGCCCTCGGCCAAAGCCCGCTGAACACTGCGAAGAAAGAGGAGCTTCACTCGGCAAGAGGCACTGTAAAATGGGTTCTTCAACCTCATTGGAGGGCCAAAATCAAAGAGTCGCTTAACGGGCCTTGACTGGACGAGCTGAATTGGCGGAGGCTAACGCTGTGGAGCTAACTTTACTCTGGAAGAAATGTCCAGAGCCCGGGTATTCTGGGCAATGCTTAGAGGTAAAGAGAAGCGAACAAACGTAAGTACCTCACACTGCCAGCCTGACACTCCGAAGTGTTCATACAGGCCACCTGACTACGCGCACCTTGTGAACACTTGCACCATGTATTTTGTCACTGCTGCCTGCAGAATTCTAACACAGCAGATGTGCAGTCTAAATGCACCACTCTCAAAACACATTCGAAGTCTGCTGCTTCGTTTACATGAAATCTGCGCCAGTACCGTCTATGGTCGGTTGTGGCGTCAGTTGGCTGCCGCATGTGTGCTGTGCAAACTTCTCCAGTTTGCATCAGTGCACGGAAAAACGTCAGCGTCAAACTGTTTGAGACATCTTGGACGAAGCACGCGACAGAGCGCTGAACTTTTCAATAGTTGTTGCCCAAAAGTTCGTAGTTCTTGCTTGAGCACAGAACCTCCCGTTCTCTTACACTCACGGAGTTACAGAGCAGAGAGAGCAGTCCAGCATCCTGTCGATCATGAGAAATGCGAGGCAACGTGGACCATGCCTGGGCATGACCAATCTGAGGCCTATCACATGCTCAGTTTCGCTTCCGGCAGAGAGCCACACAAGTAATGTGGCCAGTTGGTGAAGAAGAAAAATGACCAACTTGCATGACACAACAGAGCAAAGTCCTCCATTGCAGAAATCACGCTGCATGGATGCACTCGGCGCAACCCCAGTCACTGATGTCTCCAAAGAAAACTGAAAGGCCATGCTGAAAGCAGCGGCAGCATCAAATGTCTTACTCTGTTATCTAGTCACTGACGGGTGAGTGCCAAACAGATGCAACTCGTCAAAATCCTAACGTTCCGGGCTGTATTTGCCTCACCACATACAGATGTGCTGAATGTCGCTTTGCAACCAACGTCCCTTTCAAAGGCTGATGATGGTTCCGGAGCGGACGGCCCTCCGAATTTTTTCGGAGTCAACATCAGATGCAACCTGGAAGCAGTCAACTTCAACGCCTTCATACAAAGGTCATACCATGTGCATTCAAATAAGCATCGGGGGCAACAAAGTCAAGGCACCTCCATAGTCGTCATCTTGTCGCTTCCACTTCCACTTCCTTGTCGTTGGACCTCCTCTCCCAGTCCCGACCTGACAAAGGCGAGGGAAGGGGCTCCAACTTTGCTTTGGTTTTTTCAAAGGCCGATGGACAGGAGTAAGTAGCAGGCTGACACAGCAAACCAGGATTAAATGGAACCAGCATAGGCCTCTGCGAGGTAGAGTCTGGCACATGCAGAGAGTCTTATGCTGAACCTGGAGCCATGCCTTCGTTGCAGCATGCATTCGTAGCATTCTTGCAGAAGGTTTGCTATAACCTGCAGATCGGACTCTTGCCAACATCCCCCAAGTTGGCGGTACAAGCAGGTGCCTGGAAGTGCGTCTGCTCGGGGTCCTCAAACACGACCTTGGCTGTCAGCTACCGGTACTTTCCAAGCGTGCAAAGGCGTTTGGTAGTTTCCCTAAATAGGGGCACTCCAATATAGACACCAAATTTCTACAGTCATTATCATAGGGACGCCCAAAATGGTTTTGGGAAACCCCCATTTCTGTTTTGGAGCCGGACACGAACAGGAGTTTTCGCAGAGCTCTGACGACCAGCCTGCAGATGCTGGATGCGCTCATGATGATATAGTCCCCCTCAAGTACATAGAATATGGGATAATACAAAGGGCAATTCCAGAGAGCGGCAGTACATGGCAGTACCGGAAAGCAGGCGACTGGTGAAAGGTGCTGAGCGGCAGAAGCTGGCAGGGGATGCAAGTGATGGGGGGCGGCAACAGGAGCAGAACGCCCGTCTTTCCGCATGCTGCTATGCATCTTGTGTACCGTTCTTGGGTCCTACAACAAAGCAAGCGAGACGCAGAGCGAGAGAGAGAGAGAGAGAGAGCAGAGCGCGAGCAGAGAGCGAGCAGAGAGCGAGCAGGGGTGTTGCTGATCCCTTGCTCTCTGAGCGGCGTGCCCATTGAACAGCATTCTCATAGGATTTTGGCAGGTCACACAAGATGATCTAAGCGACAGACATCGCCGGGTGGTGATTGAAGGCATCGCTTGACATCAACGCAAAGCTGGCCCTAAGCTGCTAAGCGTGCAGCGATCATCTCTGGCCAAACGTCTTCTTGCTGACCTAAGTCTTAAACCCACACTGTCCCTGAAATCACGAGGGTCTGAGTGATGTGTTCATGCACACACCATGGGCCATAAATGCACGCTGTTTGCAGCTAAAGCCGTACCCTATAACAAACTTGGTGTAACAATGTGCGCAGGGCTTTTGTTAAGGACCGGGTATTGAATCCGTTTCCATGAAGGAGATTTCACACAAGGACCTCATTACAGCATGAAGCATGAAACTACCTTGGACGCTTGGGCAAAACCAGTATTGCCAAGCTGCTTTCCTCAACCACATTGATGCAAGGTTTTGCCTGGCATGTTCTTGGTTTCTCAGCTGTCCGTTCACCAAGTGCCTCGAAGAGGCCTCTCTCCAATCCGTGATCAGAACATGGAACTTGTTGTTGGTCCGCCTGGGCAGAGACGCTGTCAAACCTGAAGCTTAGAACCCTAAACCCTGAACTCCTAAGCCTTGTGTTAGCCAGGGCCGCTCCCTCCAAACAGTCACAGGGGGCTTCTCAAAACAGAGGTACCCGTAGAAAGCCCCAGAAATGTGTGTGGGTGTGGGGATCTTCATGGATGAAAAAAAAAGTAGAACCCTTGGCCATCTTAGAGCCAAAAATCCTGATCCTACTGGGTTATATTGGGCTTATTTTGGGAGGATAATAGAAAATGAAATGGAAACTACTATTTAGGGCTTAGGGTTTAGGCTGCAGGTTTCAGTGGAATGCTCACTGAGCTGAATGAGGCTCACGCTTCATCCATGCCTCATACTTCACTGCCTTGCAGGGATTGGTTGCTTTTCAACCGTTTACCATACCCTCAACCCTAAACCTTAAGGGGCTAGCAGCCTAGCAAGCACACTGCTAGGGCTGTTAGGGTTTATCTCAGCCATCCCAGCTTCCGTGCGGGTGTGAGTGATTCGCCAGAAGGTATAGTCCCCCTTAAGTAGATAGAATATGGCTTTGGGTGTGTTTTCTAAGCTCCCCATACACCCCATATTCTATCTACTTGAGGGGGTCTGCCTTTTCTGGCTGTTTGCAATTCTGCACCCATGAGCAAAGCATCCCTCGGAAGCCTTCTTCATGCAGAGTATTCCCGCACTCAGCTTCATAGCCTGAAACCAAGCAACAGCTCTGCGCTTTCGGCCACAGATCTCACCCTTTCTGCCGCTCAGAGGGGCCGACAACATCTGTAAGATGACCGCGGAGTGCCAGTCGCTCTGGCTTGTAACATCGCCTTTCAAACAGCTTTGCCACTTCGCCTTCTGAGCATTTTAAATCAGAAAGGATGGGCTTCCGCTTGGCTCGTGGCTCGTGGCACCAGATTAAAAGCCAACTGGCCCTGCGGCGGCAGGCGGGTACGAACAAGTGTTCCGCAAAGACCTTCAACAACTGAGATGCCTCCAGGAACATCTGACCCGTACATCGTGTCAAACAGATGCAACGCAGCAAGTAAGACAAGCACAAGAGCTAGCACTGGCTCTCGGAGTGATGTCAAAATTGCGGACGCCGCCGTCGGGTTCAACCAAATGGCGCGAAGCTGTGCTGCGAAATGGCAGCACAATCAGCTTGTTATTCTGCATTCTTTCAACTTTATAATACTCCAATGAGCGTTGCGTGATCGCTCCACTTTGCGCTGAAGCTCCCACCCAACCCGAGCGAAGACAACAAAAAGGCAAAGGGTTTGCTTGAGAGCATTTCTCATCCACACCCAACACCTGAAGTTCCTCTGCAGGTCCCCTGCGAGCCGCCCACCCGTAAGTACTACACAGGGCCCGATGCCACCAATACAGCGCGATATCCATCCTCACCCAAAGGGAGAAAACCTCAGATGCTGTGATCTCGTCGACACCCCGAGCTGAATCGAAGCAACAAAATGCCCTTCTGGTTGGAGGCCTTACGCGCGTGCTGGCAGAAGCCGCTTGTTCCTCCTCCTCATCACCTCAACTGGTCATTATCAGTCTGCCGTCTCGCTATAAACTCCATCCAGGGCAAATGCCATCAGCTGCAGGTCCTGTTTCTTCAGAGGGTCCCGGACCTCAACTGCTATGGAGCTACTTCTTGACATGTCCAGGAAATTCTGTAAGTGTGGAAGTAACATGGCTGTCTGCGCAGCTGAAGCCTCCGGCCCAACTGAAGTGCTGCATTGGAGGGTGACAGCTGCCGTCCCCCTGCCGGAGATGACTCGCCTGTCACAACCAGCAAAAATAAAGAACGGTTTTCCTAGCAGGTTGTCGTTTTTTTGCGTCCTTTGACAGGCATCAGGACTGAGTCACATCAAAGAAGCCACGGAAGAAGTGACTAGCTTGACTCTCTGCAGGGTCAGCGTTAAAATATTTCAGAGCTGAGGCCGGGGAGATTTCTGCGGCTTGTGATGGCATGTACGCCTTGCAGCACGGTCTTACGCAAGGACAGCTGCATGCCGTTTATGGACTGACTGTATGATGTTTTAAACAGTGGGTTCTTCAATCCAGATTCCGTGCGACTTTGCACCATTGATGCTGATAACGCTTAGAGGGCTTCGGCTTTCGAAGAGGTACTGGAACCCGTTGCCATGGATCTCTGGATACAGCAGAGAAACATCAGGCCAAGGAGCTTTTGACAATGTCGCGAAGAGCTTCCAAAGCTTTGAATGAGATCGAGTGGCCTCAGTAATGCTCGCCTTTATCCTCAACCCAATGTGATACTCAATACATCTCAATACGCTAAGGCCATTTGCCACCACTGGTACTGGAGCTGGTAGCCTGAATTCAGGCAGCTCAAAACCAGCAAAGCTCTGGGAAGCATGCGTGGGGATTACAAGCCAGCCTGCTCGGAATGCCCTGCAGATCCTGATCCAGATCCATCACTGACCTTGATGCAACGAAATTCGCCATGCAAATGCTGCAAATTGAATGTCTTATGCTTCAAGGCTATCAATTGTGTCCCCCGCCCTTTCCCATTCTCCCGAAATGGATGTGTAAAATCTCAACACCATCTTGCAAGGGGCCCTGGTACGTGTTCAGATATTGCGTCTACTGCCCCCCTTCTTATCGAATCAAGGCAGCACACTGCTACAGGATATACCATGGATGACAAGTAACAATGTCTGAAAAAACAACAAACGCGCAAAAACGAGCGAGCAAGCGAGCGAGCAAGCAAGCAAGCAAGCAAGCACGGCGAAGCGTACAGAGGAATGACAAAAGCGATGGTCATTTGTCAACCTTCGCAAAGCAACTCGCGGCACAGGCTTCTTGACAAGCTCATGAAACACAAAACAGACCACAACCACTTATACCGCTCATGCTCACCCCATTGCTTCCACCTGTTATACTTCCGGGCACAGGTGATCTGTGAGAGCCTGGCCCTGGCTTTCACCGCAGTAGCCTGCGAGAAGATGCAATGCGAGTCTCATTCGGTGCAGATATGCGAGTCCGTGTCATGGGGGTTCCCTACAAGGTGAAGCATTCTATTCTGGTCTATGCGTGCGCATACACCACATGGAAATTGTTCGCTAGCCTGAATCCCTTCCGAGACGGCCCCGGGCTCCTCAGTTCGAACATTCTGAAAGCGCATCCATGAAGACATGTGGAACATTCTCAACATCAGATCAACAAATCATCAGTTCTAATTCAGATTGAAAGCTCGCTTCGTGAGCGTTCCGAGTAGTCACAGCGACTAGGCAACCCTGCATAGTAGTTTCCATGTCATTTTCCATTATCCCTATATTATACCCCTGAATTATACCCCCTATAGTAAGCCCCTGAATTACATACGTCTCGGCTTTGCTGTTGCAAGCGCTCACGGGCACCGTGGCTTGGCGCCCTAAACACCTCAACCCTTCACCCTCACGACGGACCTTTAGAGGCCTTTTTTCACACCACAAGGACGGACACATTTCATGCGACCAGAGCTCTGTCCACCCAAGAGGCATCACCGCAGATCCTTAGAGGACATTGTGCTTACAGTGCTTGCGCCTGAAGCAGGTCTAGAGTTCTGTTGTTGCTTTTGAGGGTTTAGCTGTCTGACAAACCATCGCCGGGGAAGGCTAGGTGCGGAACAAGGGTCGGGTCTAAGCTGCTTCCTTCACTGCGAAGCGTGAAGCCACGCCCTTTGGAATCAAGTCTTTTCCAGTTTAGCACTGTCGGGGTTTGGGAGTTTCAGAGTTCCGGTGACTAAGAGCTATAGCGAATGCGTGCTGGGGCTTGGAGGCTTTAGGAATCAGAGGCTTTACCGTGCTGGTTCTAGGCTTGAGGGGTTTACGCATCCTCCTTTATGATTCAATCGCTAGGCTGTGCACATCTCCCGGGCATGAAAAACGACGTTTTGTAAGTAGGCTTGTAGGGGTTGGAGTGTTGTGTAAACCTGAGACCAACAGCAAAACCAGCACTCACCAACTATCGGAAAAAAAAAAAAAAAAAAAA